TATTATGATATATATTTTTAATATTATTAAACTGTTAATTTAAATATTTATTATGTAACTCATAAGTTATTATAAAAAAATTATTTTATGTTGTGTAGTATCTTAATATAAATATTTTATTATAAACATATTTAATTAATTAATTAATTTTTAAATAAAAAATATTTTTATGCACCAATTAAATAATATTAATTAATCGTTCATTAAATTAAGTAAAATAAGTATTAACCATAGTTTTATACTAATGTTAATTTACAATTAGAAAATCTTAATTTTTTTTATTAAGTTTACAACTAATATGTAGATTTGATATATTTTAAAGTAATTATTTTAATTAAAATTATCTATTCAAATGAGTTATTAATTATAATTTATTATTATTTGATTATATTTTAGTGCAATTAGATTCCTGACAAAATAATTTAAGAAATCGTAGAAGATCGTGTACTTATTATTTGATATAACTGGTGATTTCAACTTGTCACATTTTTTTTAAAATAATAATGTCTTTTCAACTGTTCATTTTATAACATTGAATCATATATTGCTTGTTTTATTATTTATTAATGATCTTTTTAAATATTATTTCAGACAACAACTTATCACATGAGCTAAACTGTAAAGCATTATTGTTTATGATAATGTTATCCTGGTAGCATAAGATTCTCTGTTTGTTATATGATTGTTGATTAAAGTCATTTATTTGATACTATTGTTTACAGTATTTGATCAAAAAAGCTGAGTTGTAAAGCAATACTGTTTATTATATTTTTTTAGTTTACCTTTAATATGCTAAAAATATTATAATTTCAAATTTCATATGAGATATTTTCAAACTCTGCTATATAAGGGGTGCATATACATATGAAAGTAAACACTAACAGAAGTTACATGCAGCAGTTATTTATTGAAAATTCTTGAGCTATGAAGTTTTTTGTCACTACCTCCAAAATATATCGACAATGTTTAGAGTACATTCGAGACACCCCCAATAAAAACATGTTTAATAATGTAAGTAGAAGAATGCATGCTTGTATGATATGATTATGTGATTGTTTGTTGGACCGAAAGACGAATGTAAATGACAATTTTCAGATGGTGCATGCATAAATGGTTACTTTGGCATTTGTATGCCGATGTAATGAAGATAAACATCTATAAGACGAAAAATTTTCTAAATGCTTCCGATTTGAAATATCTTGAAATGAGGTTCATCGAATGTGCCAAGGTTTTTCGAACGATTAGGTTATTGGACGAAAAATGAAAACTAACATAATGACGATCACGTTTGATGATAAGAGAAGAGACTTATTAAGTGAGGATGACTAGAAAGATGTCCAATATGCATTTGAGTTTTTTTTTTCAAATATTTTCTAACTCAAATCCAACTAAAACTCGGTTGTGTATCTTACTTAATGAAAACTTAAGATTTGTACTTCCAATTATGTTAAATGTATGTAATTTTGTAGGGATTTCGACTTATCCGCATCATTTTTGCAATTCATATGAAAAAAGTAATTATAAATTTATCTTATAAAAATAAGAAAGATAGTTCAACTACATCGATTTAACATACAATATGACAAATTTGGATGGATCGAGTACCGATGATTAGTTGGAAGCGGGTTAATTGGCACATGATAGACCTTCATACTCTACAGAGTAAAAGGCACTGACTCATCATACCAATTATTTCTTCTGAAAGAAATGGAAGGGAGGAGTTGGTCTTATACATGAGATGGTACAGGTTGGGGCTTTCCTATACATACTGAATGTACCCCAACAACCTTCAGAGACGTTCTACCAGAGGTTTTCAAGCAAGAGGATGATGATAAGTAAGCTTGTTTGTCCATATGCATTCATAATTGAAATAATTTGATTTATCCTAGTTTAATGTTATGATGCACTGTTTAAAACAGGTTGATTATATCAGATGTAACAGATGTATTACACACCCATTTGTCGGTTAGCATGGGGAAAATGCAAGTTCAATGCATGTGGGCTCCAAAAATTCGGCCCCGGCCTCTTCGCCGAGCACTGATTGATTGTGCTTTTATTTGAGCGAGGGAGTTTTAACTGATAGGTTCCGGGGTAAATTTTGGAAGGCAGATGGGTTTGTAGATAAGACACTACCCAGAGATTTAGTCCTCATTTTGCGAGGACTTTATGATCTGAGTTCTGGTTTCCTATAGGCGCAAGCCCCTATAGTTAATTACCCCTCCCGATCACGAGAGAGAACTTTCGATTAAAGCTAGTCATTGATCAGATACGTAGAATATACGTGTTATCTGACATATAGTAGCAGCATGGGTTTTGGGTTTGGAGATTGGAGGATTTGATATTTAAATAGAAATTGCACCATCTTGCACTTAAAGCGGATGGTGGGGGAACGGATGATGGGCCCGATCAAGATCCCATGGTTCCGTCGTCCCGGGCCATCGTGGTCCCTGGTCTACTTAGTCAGAGGAGGTAGTCGACCCAACCTGACAGAAGGATCCTTGTCGGCAGCCATGGGTTGCTTCGTCCAAGGGGATCTTGTAGGCCTGGGTTGGATGTTTGTCTAAGGGGACAAATTTGAATCCACCTTAGCTGACAGAGGGCTTCGTGCCCTATCGATCATATCCTATTGATTCATATCTCAAGGATTTGATGCCAATAAAGAGCGTATTGGCGCTGGCCATAACCGGTATTTCGTGGTGCCATTTGGCGGCAAAACCACTCGGTTCAGAGGGCCCCGGGTCATAACCGTTTATCATGCGGTGCCATTTGGCGGCAAAACCGCCGTTTAGAGGACACGTACCACGTCCTTACTGGCAGAAGACTATTTGAGAATGGATCTTAGTGATATTTTTGACTAGGCATTTGACTCTTTGTGAGCAGAAGTAGATTTTGATTTGTCCACCCTGGCAAACTGTTGCGGAGGGTGGATGGGTTTTGTTTTAAGTGATTGATGAATTTATTTCAATTTTAAATATCTGAGATTTTTTTGGGATTTTGGATTTCTGGAGTATTTGTGTGGAGCTTTGGATTAAATGGACCCCTCTGGTTGAGATTAGCGTTCAACGTGGCCATCATCGGGGTGTTCGGGCTCATTTTCCTTTATTGATTGAACCCTGTCAACTCGACAAGCTGTTGCTCGAGGATCGGGTTTCTCGTAGGCTTTATGCCTTTGTTTGTGAATTTTCTTGATTGTAGGCCTTGAAGGCCTAATATGAATGCATTGAAACAAATACATTGGTCCCCACAACCATGTATTTGTTTGAAGGTTCGAATCCTGTCGACTTCTATTGATCCGTATAGAAGGATCAGGTTCGAACTAGAATTCATTTATCGACCAGCGCAACATCCCTAGGCGTCAAGTGTATACCAATAACACGCTCGTCGGGGCCAATGCGGGTGATTTTTATATTGATTTAGACATACCCCATTGTGTACTTATGTGTATACAAACTATAGTGCATGTGCAGGGGTTCTTTGAAATATTTGTAGTTGTGTAGATAACTATCGTTTGGATGCACACAATTTTTCATTTGAGAGCTTGTACACACCTTCTGTCCGCTAATACGAGTGTTGCGGATCCGGTGGCGATGAATTGTAGATTGTAGATGCCTTCTGTCTGCTTATATGAGTGTTGCAGATTCGGTGGCGTTGGATTTTGATGTTGACTCCCCTTTCTCAATCACCGGGGAAGGATTTCCTGGATTTTGAAGTTTGTTGTTTTGTAGAGAACTCTTTTTAAGATGATAAGTGTAATGGATTTGTCATTCTCGGTGTTTGTGGGCACCATAACTATTTTCTTCTCGGGTATAGCACTAAAAAGAGACTTTGGAACACCAGGAAGTTTGATTCTAATTTGTTCAAATATTTCCTCCCTTTTGCCAGGGGGTGTCCTTTTTCGTACGTCGGGCTATCTTCGTGCCCGAAATACTTGAAGATCTTTACCACCAATGTCGTAGGTGATATCAATACTTGTGCCCACAGTGGTTCATTGTACAATACACTGTTGTTATCCATAAGTATTCATTTGCATTTGCAGGGGACTGCTGTATCCACTACGAGCTTCTAGAAAATGTTTGCAGGAGATTCATTATTTCTGCATCATATCCACCATTTCACCAATCTCGGGTGGTTTGCTGATTGTACTTGCTTGTTGGTACAGATCTTTGATTGCTGGTCTCTAGTATTGCCATCTCAATCAACAGGCATTTGTAGGGATTGTTGTAGAAGTTCGTGCATCCAGGTCTTGTAACGGACTTTGAGTTACTATTAACCATACACATGTTCTTGTTTGAACTCCCTTGCACAGGATTCAAGCCTTGTCCTTGTTTGTGTTTGAATCCAAGTCTGAGTTCCAACGTACAAGTTCAAGTCTTTGCTCAAAGTCTTGTTCATCTCATTTGATATCCAAATCAAATGTGAAACTGAGTTCCTTGTTATTCTTAGAAGTTTGGATTCTTCATTGTTCATGTTGAGCTTGGATCCAGCTTGCGTTCAGAGTACAAGTTTGAATGGTCTTTTATTCATCCCATTTTCAAATTGAGTTCAAGTCTGAGTTCACTCGAGTTTGAGTTCTATATTCGGATCCCCTGATGTTGCACAGTTCGAGTTCCAAGAACAAGTTCAAGTGCTTGTTTAGAGTCTTCTGAAGTCTTTGTAGGTACAATTTCATGTTCAAATGATTTGAATTTAAGTTCCAATTCTTTTGTCTGGATTTAACCTTTAATTAATCATTTTGAGCTTTGTTCAATAGTCCAGGTTCATGTTCAATCAAGTTCAAAAATCCTCTGCTCTTTCTCGTTTGAGTCCGGGCTCCTTGTTCTTTTAGAGTTCAAAACAGATCCAAGTGTAACAGTACTTCACCCGAAATTTTAGCAACCTCCCGGCGTCTCCCCCGTTTAGGGGAAAAATTCGAGAGACTGGGCCATCCCACCACGCTACTTTAGCGTGTATGGTAGGTGTCGGGGGACACCGGGCCGTACATTTTTTCATCTCACCACGCTACTCGAGCGTGTATGAGGTCTTCAACAGTATCCGTAGGCGAGCACAAGTGGATCTCCCCACCACGCTACAAGAGTGTGTATAGGGCTTACCCACTTCGTCATATGCGTCGCACCGGGCTCCCTCCTACCGTGCTACGAGAGCGCGTATAGGTGGTCCTCCGGTCCGCTGCAAACGTCGAAAATGGGATTTTAGGCCATTACTCACCTCGTCGTAGACGCCGGACCGGATTTCCTCCCACCGTGCTACAAGAGCGCGTATAAGGGGTTTGTCGGTCCGCCGCAAATGACGAGAATGAGGAATCTGAGTTTTAGGAATTATACATTGCGTAGCAGTCGTCGGCGGTGTCAGTGTTGAGGTCGAGGACCGTCCCCATCACGCTACAAGAGCGTGTATAGGGCTTACCCGCCTCGTCGCACATGTCGCACCAGATTCCCTCCCACCGTGCTACAAGAGTGCGTATAGGGGGTCCACCGGCGCGTCAAGCGCATCGAGGGCGGGGTTTAAGTTAGAAATTATACCTTGAAGTCCGGCGGTGACTTGTGGATCGAGGCAAAGGTACGGAAACTGAGGCGGGAGGAGCCGGCACAAGCATTATTTTTTTTATTAATTATAATTAACATTAATTATAGCTAATTATTAATTAATTATAATCTATAATTAATTATTAATTATAATTAGTAAATTAATTATAATTATAATTAACTAATTACTAATTATAATTAACTAGATAATTATAATTTATAATTAATAACTAATTATTAATTAATTATAATTAATTAACTAATTATATCTATAATTAAATAATAATTAATAATTATGGAGGGGAGTCGCACAACTACGAAGGGAATCGAAGAAGCGACGAAGTCGAACGGCGACACAGGAGCTCTCACAATCGGCAAGCTTCGATCGTTGCTTCCGATCGGCTGGAAGGGAAAACCATCGTTGGAGCGAGGTCGAGAGAGGAATGAGGGAGAGTGAGAGAGCTCGGGGTGGAGAAAGAGGCCGAAGGCCTCGCCCCTTCAACATTTTAACGATGCGAGCGCATCGTGTGAAGGGCGGCGACGACGTGCATCGTGGGGTGCCAGAGCAGGTGAGGGATTTTATTTCCCTTTTTTTGTTTTGTTTTACACGGTACAGGTCAACAATGCAGCAGGTGCTTGATGGTGTTGGTGAGTTCTATTGCAGGCTGGAGACATCTTTATTCATTGACTATATTCCACATGATATCACTGAGGATCAAGGGAGACAAAGGACGAATTGAGGCCACGAGCAGGCTCAACCGTTAATGCGGTATATGTTAGATACTCCTTTAAGGATGGTTGACGAGAGCAGGCACGAACCAGTTGGATATGGCCCACCAAGGTAGTCAATGTATGTGGGCTCGAGAGACTTTGCTTTGTCATCACAGTTTTCTGTTGGATTCCCTACGATGATGGAGGGCAAGGCTTGTTAGAGGCATGATTGTCGACATAATATTGAAACCAGTACAACCTACAATGGGGCACTATTGCTTCTGGTTACTAAACAAAGACTCATGCATTGTAGTTAGCGCCACTATACACATTGAGTATGCAGATCCCTAGATGAATCTGTTTGGATTGTCATCATCTCCTACACAGCATGATGAGTTTCTCCACCAAACTCAACCATAAATAAGCAGCGCAGACAAGGAGGGCGAAGGGAGAGATGTTGATGAGAACTAAATGTACCGAAGGACTAGTTGACCACCTAGTAGGTACACACTAGGAGTAGAGCCATCCCCCCTCCTAAAAGAAAATAGGTTGGCATGATATCTAATGTATTTATGGTTTGTATTTTCAACAGACAAATGTGACATGATGTATGTTACATCGATGTAATCGAGCTATCACTTTTATTTTTGCAAGATAAATTTATAATTCTATTTTCATATGAATTGCAAAAAAGGATGCTGATGGGTAATTATTTTAACAAAATTAAATGCATATAACGTAAT